TTTCAGGATGATCTCAGTATCAAAATGTAGCTTTTAAAGCAGGAATCTGAAAATATGATGAGGTTATTTTGACCAAATTTGACTTAATCCTCATTGTGATATGATGGGTCACAAATACATTATTCCTGTTAAGAGTTTCAACATGAAGATACATTTTAGGTAGTGTATTTTAGCTGTAGAGTCTAACACTTTTGAAATCAAGTAACATCAGTGTAAGTGTTTTAGTATGGGGGTTATGAGTTACTGTTTTCCCAATAACACAGTAAATCTGGTAACTTTTAGATGTAACAGCTTTCAGTGCAACATAAACCTGTGAATCTGAAGCTGTAAGAAAGTCTTAAAAGTCACGTTCACTCTGTGCTCTGATATTTGTTTGATACGTTTGAAAAACTCTTCATGTATTTGTGAATTTGAGAGTGATTTATCTCCATCAGACAGGAGCAAGCAGTGAGTTATTGTACCGAGTGATGCCTCTGTTGGTGGCCATGATGAGAACAGGGGACAGGTCACTTTCCAAGGCCCGGTTCAGGAAGGAGAAGCACTCCATGTCCAGCATGTGGACCTCGTCGATAAATAACACCTGGAGGCACAGACGCTGAGGTCATTTAGAGGGCAGAGGATGTAAAGGACAACAAACGGAGACTCAGACATACCCCAGGAATGATCTCAGCCTTGCCTTCCTCCCTCCACTCACACACTTTGGCGTTAATCTGCTCGCGGACCTCAGACTTGATCTCTCCAGTGTCTCCAGAGAAAAGAGCCAGGAAGCCTTGTGTGCGGCTGTTAATGACATCGATCTCATGGAGGGACACTGTGTGCACCACCTCCTTCCTCTTCTGCAGCTCCCCTTCAGGACACTGCACAAACTGTGTCTGCACAAACAGACACTTTAGAGTTATGTTGGGAAATCCAAAGAACAGATAAATGATTTCTCTTTTGCACTGAAAACACTTAAAAATGACGAGACAACCATAAAACCTGCTGTAGTTTGTGACTGAGTTGAAACACAGAACAAACCTGAGCTCCCATGGCATCGTAGTCTCTGGCTCTGGTGAAAGAGCGTCCTAACTTGCTGATTTTCCCAGTGGCTTTGTCAATRGTGATAACATCTCTGAAAGGGGGAAAGAATAAAAACAGAAATRTAATTCAGCTTAGACGTGTTTACCTGACAGCAGAAAGAAATCTGAGACTATAAAWGACTCACCCAGCTTGTACTTTCTCTTTACTCAGACTGTCAATCATCTTGTTGCCCAGGTCATATATTGTCTCCATTTCTGTRGTCTTTAGAGTCAGTTTGCCTACCTTTGCACCCTGGTTAGAAACACGTTATCAGTAAATATGTTGGTTTTTACATATCCTGTAATAAATATCCTGTCAGAAACCAACCGTTCCAGTTGCTGGTCTATCAATCTGGATTTCCACCACCTCTCCTTCAATAATTTCTGTCTCCTCTCTGTAAATAAACATCAAAAACAGTCTCATTATTTCATCAGAAAGAATGAGAAAATCAGGTTCTTGTGATTGCTCACTCACTTAATTCTCACTCCGATGGCTTTTCTAAAAGCTTGACTAAGCGCCTCAGTCTTGCTCATTTCCAGGGAGAAGATCTCACTACCAGCCAGTGCTGTGAAGGGGGTGTCAGGGCCCAGAGACTGTGCAATACCTGCAAATAAAACACTCAGTTCATCTGGAACAGGAGCTCTTGTTTCAATGAAAACACAACATAAGACAATTACATCAGAGCAAGTGAACTGAGTGAAGAGCATCTGCTGCTGTTTGTAAAGTTACACTGTCAAAAATTACCAATATTTTTGTTTTATTTAGTCTTAAAACAACAGATTTATTTTTCAGTTTTCATCCATATGATTCATATATTTATAAATGTCATAGTTTATAAACTAAATATTTAACTTACAAATCAAATATTTATTTAACAAACTACTATTTAGCTGGTGACTTAAATATTTAGTTTTGAGCTAAATGTTTAGCTTGATACTTAAATATTTAGGTTGCAACTTAAATATTTAGGTTGCAACTTAAAATTTTAGGTTGCAACTTAAATATTTAGCTATTTAGGTAGCTAAATAGCATAGCTAAATAAATATTCACCTAAATACCTAAATATTTAGCTAGCTACCTAAATATTTAGGTTGCAACTTAATTATTTAGGTTGCAACTTAATTATTTAGGTTGCAGCTTAATTATTTAGGTTGCAGCTTAATTATTTAGGTTGCAACTTAATTATTTAGGTTGCAACTTAAATATTTAGCTAGATACCTAAATATTTAGGTTGCAACTTAAATATTTAGCTAGATACCTAAATATTTAGGTTGCAACTTAATTATTTAGGTAGATACCTAAATATTTAGGTTGCAAC